TATATATATATATATATATATATATATATATATATATATATTACGAAGGGATGTATAGATTACAAAATATATCTCAAAAAATAAATGAAAGACGATATTCACCAGCCAGAGAATACAAAGACACAGAGTTGGGATTGCTGGGTTTGGACTCTTATTATTAGGGTATCAATTCAATAATCACAAATTAATGCGAAAACCAACAAAAAAAATCACAAATGCATGAACTTAAGACCCGGGTTATTTATATGAAATAAACCGTCTCATATCACGTGTTAGAATTCGATCGTACTCATTTTCTCTATTTTATTTTTTTATACATATCCAGGGAAACCCTAGAATTAGAAATATTCGCATTGATGTAAAGACAACTCCCTTTACGATTTTTTTTTTTTTTGCCATTTTATTGCTTTTTACATCAAAACAAGGTAGACCGTAGACATATGATATTTGTCTGAAAACAATCCCAACAAAAAATCCGGTTTCCAAAGTTTTAACAAACAGTGGATATTTTAGTCATTTTGTCCAAGTTTACTCATTTTTCAAACAGTTATGTCTCTTCTACATCAGTGTTTTATAATTCTCTATCCATCTCTTGTATCTATTTGGTATGCATACGCTCACATATATATCACATGTACATGTAGCAATTATAAAGTCTTACACACACGCACACATAAAAAACCTGCATGCACATGCGTAGAATAGTGTGTACATGGATTAACATGGAAAAAAAATATATAAGATTATACACATTTTCCCTATTTTTTTTTTGTTAAAGCATTTTCCCTTATCTTATTTTTATACATATCTTGAAAAGCTAAACCCTAGAGACATTCGATTAACATAAATTTTAACTCTCTCTACGGTTTTACAATTGTGGGTATTCTATAATTTTGCATATCCTTGAAGAATTAATTACACCCAACTTTCTATCTTAATATTCTTCTTACAAATTTGATTTATATATATTTTTTACTTATTTAAATCTGAACAATCGAAAAACGAAGGAGAAAAACAGGAATGAAGAGGTTTAACACCTTACTACTGAGTTTATTTTAAGGAAAAAAAAAAGGGAAGGAGCTCGAAGTGTCAGATGAAATTTTAAGGAGAAAAAACAAGTTTGTCAATGGAGATGGTGAGGGTTTCATCTGCGACAAAACAAAAGAATGGAGATGTTGAGCACTTACACTTGGTCGTCAATGGAGGTTATTTTAAGGGGAGAAAAAAAAAAGATGCTGTTTGTGTTTTAGGCGAGGGATGTAATCGGAGATCGAGGACTAGAGGTTGTCGCTCAGCACTGCAAACGATTGAAGCGGCTGAGGATCGAACGAGGAGCGGATGAAATAGGAATGGAGGATGAAGAAGGTTTAGTCTCGCAGAGAGGATTGATCGGTTTGGCCCAAGGCTGCCCGGAGCTAGAATACATGGCTATCTACGTCTCTGAGACATCGATAACCAATCTCTACAAAGCATAGGTACATACCTTAAGAATCTCTGCGGCTTCCGCCTCGTGCTGCTGGACCGGGAAAAGAAAATCACGGATCTGCCACTGGACAACGTGCCCGAGCCTTCTTGAGGGGATGCGAGAAGCTCAGAAGGTCCGCCCTCTATCTCAGACCTGGAGGTCTAACCAACACGGGTCTGAGTTACATTGGGCAGTACAGCCCGAACATGAGATGGATGCTACCACTACAAAAAAATCAGCAAATTCCAACGAATTTTCCAACGGATTTATCCGTTGGAAATTTTTCAACGGATTTTCAACGGTTTTCAACGGCATTTCAACGGTGATTTCCGTTAAAAATCCGTTGAAAATTTCCAACGGATATCCGTTGGAATCGCCCGTTGGAAATTTTTAACGGAATTTTCAACGTATTCAATTGAAAAAATTAGGGTTGAAATTTTCCAACGGTATTTCCAACGGATATCCGTTGGAATTTTTTTTGGAAATTTAAAAAAAAAATTCCAACGGAATTCCAACGGATGTCAGTTGAAATTTTTTTTGAAAATTTTAAAAAAAAATTCCAACGGAATTCCAACGGATGTCGGTTGAAAATTTTTTTGGAGATTTAAAAAAAAAATTCCAACGGAATTCCAACGGATGTCGGTTGAAAATTTTTTTGGAGATTTAAAAAAAAAATTCCAACGGAATTCCAACGGATGTCGGTTGAAAATTTTTTTGGAGATTTAAAAAAAAAATTCCAATGGATAACGGTTAGAAATTAGGATTTTAATTGAAATATATATATATATATA